TTTCACTTCACCCTCTCACACAAAGAAAAAAACTGAACGGATCAGAACTTTCCATACTGACGTAAATTATTTAGTAATGTCTTTATGTAAAAGAATCAATCACAATCAATCTCTAAAGATCAAATCTAAATTAATTAATCTTCATAACGTTTGTTTCCTTTCGAATCACGTCCATAACTTTCCTTCCTTGTTTGGGCAGAAACTGTTTGGTAGCAGAGATTAGGAAGTTTCCTATGAGTGTAGTAATAGGAAGTATTCTTTTTCTTGATGATTCGTTTCCATGCATGATGATAGTAAATTATGCCAACATTCACCACTATTTATCAATGTCATCAATCGTATCCATTTCTACCAGTTTTAAGGGAATCTGCTCGCTATGTCTTTTTTAAGGGGATCCGCTCGCTAAGTCGTCGTCGCATGTTATTTTCACAAACAATCTCTACTCCTAATGGAGCAGTTGGTAGCCTCATACGGTTTATTTTTGTCCTCCTTCCACCTTCCCTGGTTTTTTTTATCCTCTCTCCCACCTCCCAATTTCGTTGGTTTATTCGTCGGTTTTTACTCGCCCCCTCCCACCTCCCAATTTCGTCCGGTTTTTATTCGTCCCACCTCCCACCACCCCCTCGTACTGGTTCTTTTTCTCTCCACTCTTTCCTTGCAAATCAATAATTTCCTAACATACAAAAGATCACGAATCTATCTTTCCTTACCCGAACCAATCGCGCCCTACATCAGTGCATTTCTTTATTAAGAAAACTAACACATAAATCTTAACGCATTGCAAACAAATCCCGTTATGGACCTAATTAATTTATTATGGAATCTATACGTGGTCGCATTGGTTCTTTTTTTCTCCACTCTTTCCTTGCAAACCACTAATTTCCTAACATACAAAAGATCACGAATCTATCTTTCCTTATCCGAATCAATCGATCCCTACATCAGTGCATTTCTTTATTAAGAAAACTAACACGTAAATCTTAACGCATTGTAAAGAAATCCTGTTATGGACCTAATTAATTTATTATGGAATCTATACGTGGTCGCATTGGTTCTTTTTTTCTCCACTCTTTCCTTGCAAACCACTAATTTCCTAACATACAAAAGATCACGAATCTATCTTTCCTTATCCGAATCAATCGATCCCTACATCAGTGCATTTCTTTATTAAGAAAACTAACACGTAAATCTTAACGCATTGTAAAGAAATCCTGTTATGGACCTAATTAATTTATTATGGAATCTGTACGTGGTCGCATCTCTTCCCTCGTGAAAAAATCGCATCCATCTCCCGTTAAAAAGGAAAAGAGAACATGAACGATCAATCCCACACCCTGCATCTCAGTAGCAAAAAATCGCCCCCGCCTCTGCTACTGCGCCTCGCCGTGTGCCCGGCTCGACCCATGCCTCGCCTGCATGGCTGGACGCCGCCGTCTCCACCGCCACGTACAAGAAAACGGTGGGCAGAACCATCCATTCAAATCGCACACCCCCACCCTCCTCCGCAATCCCTAGCCCCGCATCACCCTATCGCTTTCTCGCCTCTTTTTCCCCTCGATGTAGATGGTGCCGAGCGGCGGCCTCGAGCACCGGCAGTGCCGCCCTCTCTATCTTCCCTGCGTCGAGAGATGGGCCGAGGCTATCGTCGGTTCGCCGCCCACGATTGGGCCGCCTCCGGTTGTCGCGCACCACCGGCTCCACCTAACGTGCCCGACCCTCTCCGCTTTCGACCTTCCGGTGACCACATCCCTCCGCGCCTCCATCCATCATCCACAAGGCCACTCCCTGCACCCACCCTCCTAAATTCTCCATACCGGCGGACAATCACCGAAGATCCAAGTTGGCCCGATATCAATTTTCTTACATGCTTTCTTTATCAGTTGGTGATGGGAATGGGTTCCAATTTCTCTCTCTGACTGTGGATTCGCAGGCAAGAAGCGCTTCTACATGCATCCTCCTGTCGGTCCCTAAAGTACCAAGGTAAATGGTTGATGTTGCGTTTGTCTAGGATGATATATGTTGGCTCTGTTCTGGTTCATCCGAGCAGTTTGGTGACTAATTTACTGATAATTTAATTATATTAATTAAATGAGTCGGGTGTATCGTCGTGCATTTATCTTGCCAGTAATGTTCTGTGATGCTCTGATGCACTTTGGGAATTGGTTATCTTGTCTTCAGTGCAGAACATTTGTTTATTAATGCATGAGAAAAATCCTTGTTACTACCTTGAACCTGTTTTATAATCCATATTGTTATGCACTAGCGCGTGTGCGTGTGAAATAGATGGATTATGGTCCCGTACCCAATAAGATGGATATGTGTGTGTGTTAGAGAGAGAGAGAGAGGGAGAGGGGGAGAGAGAGTGAGGAGGAGGGAGGGAGAGAGTGTGTGTGAGAATTTGATGGTAAAAAGGTCGTCAGTGTCACTTGATATGTATGAGAATATTAAATGTAATATTAACATAATTGATATCGAACTCTTAAAATTAATGTGGCCCCGTTGCAACGCACGGGTGTTCTTCTAGTAATAATAATTGATCACTTCCTGCACCGACGCAGGTTGTACCACTGAAACAGCTTGCTATGGCCGTAGGTGTCCTGCACCGGATGAGCCATCAGCTGTCCTATCCTCTTGTCCTTTCTTATGTAAAAAATGATCTTGCAATCCAGTTATGAGGCCAACTTCACCGCACGACCTCAAATGAACGTCCGAATTGGCCGGATTTTGTCTCTTTGGGGCGCCGATGGGTTCGCACGTGTCCGCCTTTGTCAGATGGGTCGTGCGTGCGCACATCGCGCGGCCGCACCCCAAATCGTGTCCGGGATGAACGTGAATAAAAAAACTAGAATGAAATAACTAAAAAACTAAATAAAAGCATTTAAAAAAACATAAAACATATATAGGGGACGGCCACAAAACGGCTCAGTTTCCACAGCCACTTAAAAGACCCAGTTTTCATAATTAACATATAAAACAAAATAAAAAAACGCCTCCGCCTCCCGCGCGCTCCTGCCGCGCCCGTCGGTGCCGTGGCCGTCGCCGTCTTCACTGACCGCCGGTGTCGTCGTCGTCGCTGACGAGGTCGACGTAGGCCGGCGGCGTCCACAGGTGGGCCGGAGGTGCGTGGTGGACGGGGTCGGGCTGGACGACTGGAGGTGCCTGCACCACCTCCTCCCGTGGCGACGCCTCCCGCTCCGGTGACCGCGGCGGAGTGGGGCACCAGTTCACGCCCACGCCGGCGGCCATCTCCGGAGCAGTGCAGGACCAGCCCCACCCCTTGCCCAGCAGCTGCTGGAACGCGGCCGGCGGGTCCTTCCTCCTCTCCTCCACAGCCACCATCTGCAGCTCCGGGAAGGCGATGTCCCTGGCAGCAGAGAGGGCCATGGCCTCCTCCAGGCCGTCCCACTGCCGTTCGTCGTGCGTGTACATGGAGTCGTCCATGACACGCTTGAGGAGACGGGCCTCCTCCTCCGCTGACATGCGAGAAGGTGGAGGGGGCGACGGAGAAGGCGACGACGTGGGCATGACGCCGCGCACGCGCGTACGCCCGCGCACCTCTCGACGTGGCCGCCGCGGCCCCGACACCGTGCCAGCGAAGTATGACGCGCGGCGCGTGTCGTGTTCGTCCTGGAGCCACGTGTCCCAGAGGTCGGAATCCGGGTCGTACCTGTCGTCGTAGAACAGGTCGTCCGGGAGGAGGCGGCGGCGGCGCTCGGGCGGCGCGCGCGGCCGCTCGCCAGCACAGGAGGGATCGGGACCCGGTCGGCGAGGTGCCATCCGTTGGGGAGGTGGATGTCACTCCACGGGACCGGCGTCCTCGTCTCCCAGTACCTCCGGCACACGTCCACCGCGAGGTACTGCCGGTCGCGCTCGCCGGCGGGCCTAGGGTTGATGGTGAAGGGGGCCGGGACGGGGGCTCGACGGGAGGAGCGCGGCGGTGACGCGGGCTCCTCCTTCTTCATGGAGCCGCGGCGGCGGCCCGAGGAGGAGCCGCCTCACGGTCGTGCTTGCCCTTGCCGTTCCAGAACCCTATGACGAGGTGGGCGGCCGGCGAGCTCGAGGGCTTCAGCTAGGGTTTCGGCGCTGTCGGGTTTCGAGGAGGCCGCGGGGTGGCGTGGGGCAGTGTGGACGACGACCCGTCCACGCTTCCCACTTAAAGAAGGACGTCGACCATTCGACATGTGGATGACAGGTGGGGCCGCCCGCTCGTGCGCATTGATGTGGGCGGGTGGGAGGTAGGTGGCCGCCTGCCACGCGGCCCCGACGCGGTCGAGCGCGCGTCCGTTTGGTGTCCGCCGCGACCCAAACCCGGCGCAAGTTTGCGCTCGAAATGGGTCGGCCCGAACACAAAACGGATAGGATAGGTCCGTGCCGTCGCGCGCTGGGCCGTCTCCTTTGTCCGTTTTACCCCAAACGGACGAGGCCGGACAGGATAGGGTCGCGCGATGGAGTTGGCCTGAAACAGATTCAGGACGAGACATTTGGCCACTGCGTATGGGCGCCTCCAGATCTATTTAGCAATCAGGCACGGTGAACAGTGTCTCCGTTCGCCCCTAGACAGGCCCCAGTGGTGCGGTCCTATATGGACGATGATGCTTCCCCTAAATTGGGCGGTCCTGCCGGTCGGTCGGAGGAAGAATTGGCGTTACCAACCCGTGATGCTGACCGGAGAAAAACCAACCCCAATGATCCTGGCTTTTCCAACCCAAGGAAGCAAAGGTAGGTGACATATTGTTTTCTGGAACCTGATCACGCACATTCTGCATTTGTTGAGATCTTCACCGGACTCCGGAGCATAACAGCATCTCACAACAAAAAACCAGACCAGGACAGTGTTCTTTCAACCCACAAGGATCTTCATATTAGCTCCATTATTCCGCCATTTTACAGCTTACAAAGGAAAGGGATACTCCAGCTTTCTCCTTGTCGACACAACGAACGAATAACTCAGCTGCGCTGGGCCGCGCCGCGCTCTACATGGTACAAAAAGGATTCATATCCTACAAGGTATGTATCCTTTGAGCTTGCGATTCCGTTTGTGGGTCGGCGACGGCGGTGTCTTCGACGACAAAGCTCTCGATCTTGTGGAGCGACTGCAGAGCGACACAGATGTCATGTTCAGGCACTTGTGTAATGGAAATGGAAAATACGGGTGGCACCCAAACGATTAGATGGCGATAGAAAGGGTTTCGTTTCTTAATACCTCCAGAGCAATATCAATCGGCGTCAGCTTAGAGACGTCGTCATGGCCCAGCTTCGATGCGATCTCTGCAAATGGTAAATGCAGATTTGTTGTTCCTTGGAAGTCCCGTGCATACGTGATCGATGATGATCACATGTTCTGATATTCGATAGATTGAAAGGCATGGGTTTGCACAAGACCGGAGTTTATTATGGAGATCATACCTTCGAGAGAAACTCTGACATCAGCATTTGCATAAGCGTCGCCCCTTTGCTCCGCGAGCGTGCTGAGTTTCGAGAAAGCCTAAAGATAGAAGGAATTCAGTCGGTCAGTCATACCAACACTAACAGAGAATGCAGACAAATGTACAGTAATACAACAAATAAAAACTTGGACTCCTGTGATACAACTTGTGTATATGGATCGTTATTGAAGTTCTCTGTTTCGAAACAGAATAGAAGAAAAACACAGTGCCTTGAAAAAAATTCACTACTAGCCCAAATTAATCTACCTTATTCATATCCATATTCTCACACGGCAAAAATTGAAAGATCAAGTAGCTACCATTGTGTATGGGTCGCCGGATGGTTGATCTAGAAGAGGACGCGAGGCAGTCCCCACTTTAGCAATACGCCTTGCAAGAGCCTCCAAGGGCACATCCAACCAAACAGATAGTCCTTTCTTCATATTTTTCCTGATAATACAACAAGAGATCACACCGTTATCTATCAGCAAAAGAGAAGGCACAAACTATTCCACAAGGAGAAATAGGGTCAACTCAAAATACCAGTTAACTGGTCGGATAACAGCACCACCTCCAGTAGCAACAACTAATCGCCGCATTGAGGACAAATCCCTCAAGACACTACTCTGGAAAACATAAAAGAAGATAAAATCAGCACTTAAGTCTCGGAAGTAAAAGAAAACAAACTCATATGTCGAAGCTTCCAATTCAGATCACTAGTAACAAATGAAAGCTACAAATCAGAAGGATCAAGTTATTAACAGATGAATTCAGCAACCGTTACCTCATTATCCCTGAAGAAGGCTTCACTGTGAACCTTGAAAATTTGAGCAACTGAAGGCATGCCAACAGCTTGTTCGACCAATTTATCACTGTAAAAGTTGCAGAGTAAAACAAACCTTGCCATTAGTATCTATGCATCAGTACCAAGCATCAAGATTGACTTTCCTTTTGCGAACTGCTATTGGTAGATTCGTGAGAAAACACAAACCTGTCAAAGAATGAATAACCCAAAACTTCAGCCAAGATCTTGCCGACCGTGCTTTTCCCCGAACCCATCATTCCTGCACATATGTATTCACTTATCAGTCATAAATACAGAACTTTCATCAGTAACTTGGTCATTTCATTTTCAGTATTGATAATTTAGGAGGATCAAGAACTAACCAACTAGGTAGATGCACCGACCATTCAACTGGAAAAGAACCTCTTCTGATTTTCTCTGAAATCAAATTGGAAGCGTATTAGAATGGCGGCACAATATATGCACACTCCAGCATCGAATCTGGTTCTGTTTTGTGTTTTCTCAGGAAATTCAGAATATTATTAAATACCTTCAACAAGAGGGCATCGTCAACGGAGTTATGCAAATTCTCATGACCTGCAGAGGCACAAGATTAACGGAGAAAACGTCAATTCCACTGAATCTCGTCAACGCATAGATCACACGCCAAGTTTATTTTTACTGCTCTCTCATAAGGGTAAATCATATCGTACACCTTCTCCCTTCCCCTTTCCTACTCTCTAGTAATCCCAATCGATTTGACATCCCATTCTTTCCTTCCTCCCGAACTCAACAACTCCCAACACACACAGAGAGAAAAAAGCGCAAAAATTGGGCCAAGATGGCGTCAAACTTTCAGCCAAATCGTACTAATCTAACAAGCAACACGGAAGGGGATAAAAGGAGGAGGATGTATGTACCTCCCCCGGACGATTTCTTGGCGCGGAGCGGGACGACGGGCTTGGCCACGCGCGCCCGCACGGCGGCCGGCGACCCCACCTGATCACTGGCACGCAAGCTCACCGTCCGAGCCCCGCTCTCGCCGCCGTACGTCGCGCTCCGGCGGCGGCCGGAGCCGAACCCCGCGGCCCTCGACTGCAGCGCCAACCCCACGCCCGCCTCCATTGCTCGCCGGTTGCTCCGCGGCCACCACTACGCGGTGATGCGATCGGCTACGGCTCTGTGTCCGGTGGCTGCTGGGGGGGCGGCGAGTGGTGGAATCGCAGCGGAAATGTGCGGGCTTGAAATAGCGGGGGTGCGCGTGCGCGTCTGCCGGCAGCACAGCGCAGGACGCCCAGACGCTGCCGAGTAGTTGCGTAATCTGGGCTGAAATTACCGCGCTGCCCATCGGGCTTTGACCCGGCATGCCCCCCTTCCTTCCCAGCCTGCCCCCCTCTTGCTCTCTTCGGCTGTGTCATAGGTCAGGGGCATTTTGGTCAGGGAAACATGTGGGGGGATTTAGTAGGGAGATGACTCACCTACCGTGGGGTGCCACGTCGGACTGGCGGGGTTGGTGTGGGGCGCGGTGTCTGGAGAGGGTCGTGCCATGGACGGCTGTAGAATCGTAGAGGTGACGACAGACTGCCCCCAGCCGTACATCTTTTCGCAGCCTGCGAGCAAATGCCTTCTTTTTTGTTTGGGATATCCTAAATGTCATTTTTAATTCGAACGATTTGAGGATTGCTCATCACGCCTGCCGTGTGGTATATCCCAAATGTTTTGTGTATGCAAATTTCGTCCATGGCAATGTATTTTATGGCCCGTGCTCGGATGTCGGACACGCGGAGGATCCCCTAGTCAGACCGCCTAAACATTGATTATGTTGCCCACAATAAAATCCCATGTGATATAACATATATTCCGTGCGTGCAACATTGTCGTAAGATTTTCTTTCACAGAGTGCCCAAAATACTGATACATGCAACATTTTTTATGTATAACAATAAATTTTAATGGTTGCTGCAAATCATTGAGAAAATCACTAATGTATGCAACATAGTAGCCAATGTATGTAGCACCGTGAAACAACTTTGCAGCAGGAACACAACCTTCACAACGGAGGTTTGGGACATTGCAACATGTCACCCACATGTATGCAACAAAATACATACAAAACTTGCAACATATGAAAACATCAAATTCCACATTTAGGGTGTGTGTGGTTGCAGTTACGAACTGGAATGTCACGGGTCCAACCCATTCCTGGGCCTCGTTCTCATGTTTAGTACATATATGGAACGGTCACGTTCCCATAGACCGAATATTCGGTCCAATTCGAAACGGGATGAGACCTCCAAAATGAGCGGACGGCGTGAAACCGGCTTTCTCTTCACACTCCCAGCCCCATCGCATCTCCTCCCTGTTGCGCCTCCACCACCTGGTCCATCTCTATCCCTCGATCTGCATCTCGTCGTTCCTCCCCAATTCCTTCCCTTGAAGTCGCCTGACTTGTTCCTCTCTCGATCTGCAGCACAACAGGGAAACATACCTCTCTCTCTCTCCCTCTCTCCCCCCCCTCTCTCTCTCCCCCTCTCTCTCTCCCTCTCTCTCTCTCTCGATCTGGAGCCACATGGCGGCAGTGAGGTGAGCCAGGGCGGTGGAGGAAAGAGGAATTTCATGGTTGTTGGGGCGCACGATGTGCAGGGAAGTCGAGCGACGATGAGCAGGGAGGCTGGGCGGTAGCGGTGGGCATGGAGCGACACATTACTCCCGCCCTCTGTCAGCATCCCTTCCTCAATGCCCTTGAACGAGCAGGTTGGCTACAAACATAGAAATGGCGCTTGCAGCACAAGAAGATGGCTAGCAACAAAGAGGAGGATCAACAACGGCAAGTAGCATTGCAATTTGTTGGATGTGAGACAAGCAACAACAACTGTTGAAAAATTGTTGTTGTATGAAACTATGAATGCATAGTGTAGTTCTTGTTCTTCCTGTAAGGATGATTTTTTTGCCCTCTACACAAATTGAATCATAGTATTGCAGTGTCCTCTATGATGGTGATATACAAATGGAACCGTGAGATGAACCCAATCAATTTGATTTCATCATTCTTGTACATGAGGCGAGGCGGCCCAAATTTATGTGATTTCATCTGTCCAACCAAACAGTAAAACGAAACCGTTCTGTCCCACCTAATTGCATCTACCAAACACGGTAACGGAACCAACCCATTCTAGTGGAATGGAACCATGACATTCCATTCCACCTAGTTCTCAAACCAAACACAACCTTAGAATGTCAGAATAGTTATCACTTTACAACCAAATTTTGGGCCGTTGACCTTGTTGCCTGAAGCTCAACGTGTTCGGCGAACCCGAGCCCCCCCCTCGCCAGATACGGTGAGGCAGGGGCGCATTCCCCTTCTCCCCTAGCATCCCTGAGCTTAGAGGCATGAAGGTCTTTAGACCGCTCCAACTCGAGGTCTATGATGGCAAACATTTCCCATACAAATAGTGGAAGAGGAGGAGTGGAAGACTGGTAGAGGAGGAATGACGAAGGGGGATTTCATAGGAGGAGAAACTACCCAGGAGGAGCATCTCCCCGCCATGGAGCGACGAAAAAGGAACCATAGTGAAAAAGAATATGATAGGGAAGGAAGCACTCGAAAAAGTTGTGTGAAGAGAAGACATTTGAGCACTGAGACGCACGATGCAGCTTGCGCAAAGTAGGAACTTTCAGACACGGGGTGAAGGGGATTAGGGCTATTGGGGAACGTAGTAATTTCAAAATTTTCCTACGCACACGCAAGATCATTGTAATGCATAGCAACGAGGGGAGAGTGTGATCTACGTACCCTTGTAGACCGACAGCCGAAGCGTTAGCACAACGCGGTTGATGTACTCGTACGTCTTCACGGCCCGACCGATCAAGCACCGAAACTACGGCACCTCCGAGTTTTAGCACACGTTCAGCTCAATGACGATCCCCGGACTCCGATCCAGCAAAGCATCGGGGAAGAGTTCCGTCAGCACGACGGCGTGGTGACGGTCTTGATGTTCTATCGTCGCAGGGCTTCGCCTGAGCACCGCTACAATATTATCGAGGATTATGGTGGAAGGGGGCACCGCACACGGCTAAGAAAACGATCACGTGGATCAACTTGTGTGTCTAGGGGTGCCCCCTGCCCCCGTATATAAAGGAGCAAGGGGAGGAGGCCGGCCGGCCCCTATAGGCGCGCCAGGAGGAGTCCTCCTCCTAGTAGGAGTAGGACTCCTACTAGGAGGGGGAAAGAAGTGGGGAGGGAGAAGGAAAGGGGGGCGCCGCCCCCCTCTCCTAGTCCAATTCGGACCAAGGGGGGGAAGGAGGCGCGCGGCCCACCCTGGCGCCCTTCTCTCTCTCCACTAAGGCCCATATGGCCCATTACTACTCCCGGTAGGGTCCCGGTAACCCTCCGGCTCTCCGGTTTTCTCTGAAATCACCCGGAACACTTCCGGTGTCCGAATATAGCCGTCCAATATATCAATCTTTATGTCTCGACCATTTCGAGACTCCTCGTTATGTCCGTGATCACATCCGGGACTCCGAACTAACTTCGGTACATCAAAACTCATAAATTCATAATATAACTGTCATCGAAACCTTAAGCGTGCGGACCCTACGGGTTCGAGAACAATGTAGACATGACCGAGACATGTCTCCGGTCAATAACCAATAGCGGAACCTGGATGCTCATATTGGCTCCCACATATTCTACGAAGATCTTTATCGGTTAGACCGCATAACAACATAGGTTGTTCCCTTTGTCATCGGTATGTTACTTGCCCGAGATTTGATCGTCGGTATCTCAATACCTAGTTCAATCTCGTTACCGGCAAGTCTCTTTACTCGTTTCGTAATACATCATCTCGCAACCAACTCATTAGTTGCAATGCTTGCAAGGCTTATGTGATGTGCATTACCGAGAGGGCCCAGAGATACCTCTCCAATAATCGGAGTGACAAATCCTAATCTCGAAATACGCCAACCCAACATTTACCTTTGGAGACACCTGTAGAGCTCCTTTATAATCACCCAGTTATGTTGTGACGTTTGGTAGCACACAAAGTGTTCCTCCGGCAAACGGGAGTTGCATAATCTCATAGTCATAGGAACATGTATAAGTCATGAAGAAAGCAATAGCAACATACTAAACGGTCGGGTGCTAAGCTAATGGAATGGGTCATGTCAATCACATCATTCTTCTAATAATGTGATCCCGTTGATCAGACGACAACACATGTCTATGGTTAGGAAACATAACCATCTTTGATTAACGAGCTAGTCAAGTAGAGGCATACTAGTGACGTTTAGTTTGTCTATGTATTCACACAAGTATTATGTTTCCGGATAATACAATTCTAGCATGAATAATAAACATTTATCATGATATAAGGAAATAAAATAATAACATTATTATTGCCTCTAGGGCATATTTCCTTCAGTCTCCCACTTGCACTAGAGTCAATAATCTAGATTACATTGTAATGATTCTAACACCCATGGAGCTTTGGTGCTGATCATGTTTTGCTCGTGGAATAGGCTTAGTCAATGGGTCTGCTACATTCAGATCCGTATGTATCTTGCAAATCTCTATGTCTTCCACCTGGACTAGATCCCGGATGGAATTGAAGCGTCTCTTGATGTGCTTGGTTCTCTTGTGAAATCTGGATTCCTTTGCCAAGGCAATTGCACCAGTATTGTCACAAAAGATTTTCATTGGACCTGATGCACTAGGTATGACACCTAGATCGGATATGAACCCCTTCATCCAGACTCCTTCGTTTGCTGCTTCCGAAGCAGCTATGTACTCTGCTTCACATGTAGATCCCGCCACAACGCTTTGTTTAGAACTGCACCAACTGACAGCTCCACCGTTTAATGTAAACACGTATCCGGTTTGCGATTTAGAATCGTCCGGATCAGTGTCAAAGCTTGCATCAACGTAACCATTTACGATGAGCTCTTTGTCACCTCCATATATGAGAAACATATCCTTAGTCCTTTTCAGGTATTTCAGGATGTTCTTGACCGTTGTCCAGTGATCCACTCCTAGATTACTTTGGTACCTCCCTTCTAGACTTATAGCAAGACACACATCAGGTCTGGTACACAGCATTGCATACATGATAGAGCCTATGGCTGAAGCA